AAGGATAGTGAAATTCCACGCGCATTCGTGACTTCTCACATTATCATGGAACTATAAAGACAATACATCAAAGGAAGGCATATGGTTTAGATATGTTGATGATATTTTGTGTCTTATGCCAAAGAATGTAGATATACACCATTTCCTTGGCAAATTAAATAGCTTAGCCCATTATATAAACTTTACTGTTGAGTTTGAAGAAAATAACTCATTACCTTTTCTAGATGTTTTAATTATTAAGGGTAATAATGAATTCAAATTTAAAATTTACAGAAAACCTTCAGTAACTGTTCCTATGTTCACTATTATTCTTCACATCAAGATACTGTATCAGAAATCTTGATACAGTAAAAAACTTTTGATAAAGAATTCCCCCCAAAATGCTGATGGATGTGTCTATAAGATTCCTTGTAAAATTTGCGATAAAGTTTATTACGGTCAAACTGGTAAAAGTCTCGAACTAAGATTAAAACAACATAAATATAACATTAGAATGGGACAAGATTCCAATGCTCTATTTATTTATTTGAGAGATTTTAACCATCTAATTGATTTTCAAAAAGTTGAGAAAGTTGCATCAAGCAAGTCCATGGTCGACAGGAATGTAATTGAATCTTGTTTCATAAAAAGCAGTTTTGAAAATAGCATGAATATTTCCTTTCGTTTATATAAATTAGATCCATTTATAATTAATAAAATTTGGGAGGATTTTAATAATACATTGGACAAATAATAAATCTTAATTCTTGGGTAGAATAGTTTGTTAGTGGGATGTCGTGAAGGACCTGCATTGTTGGGCCAGTGGGCCTGCTGCAGTGCTCGTCCTTTCTTATGAGTCGGGTGTCGTCACGCTTCAGGCGTTGCTTTGTTGTGGGATGTGATGGTGAGGTGTGGTCTAGACCCTTTATATGCCTTGCTTTGATGTATTGTCTTTATAGTTCCTTGATAATGTGAGAAGTCAAGAAAACGCTTGGAATTTCACTATCTTTTCACAGTGGTTGTATTGCATATTCTGATATTACCTGTTTATTGTGATCTTATTGCTTATATATATATATATATATATATATATATATATATATATATATATATATATATATATATATATATATATATATATATTATATATATATATATATATATATATCAGTGCACCACGCAGAAACAAGTAGGTATATACAGAGGAAGATCGCAGTCAGCAGGATTAGATACTGCTACTGGGACGGACAAGATTCCCAGGCAGCACTCTTAACCGCTTGGCCACACAAATGCCACATAGACTGGGCAGCCTGCTTCACAAGCCATGTTTCTTTCCCAGCCCGGGCACGTCAGTGAGCCTAAAGTATAGATTCAAGCTATTTCAGTCAATTCCTGTATGTGCTGACCTCACATTAAATACAAACTTTGCATCAACAACACAAAGTTTAATAAGTTTAATAATAGAAACTGGCAATTGTAAATCATAGTTAACAAGTTCTGATAAACAAACTTAGTAAATCATCCAAGGGGAACTTTTGTAAACAAGAAAGTTACATCAAAACTAACCATGTAGAAATCATTAGTCAGTCAAGGTGCTTAATTTATCCACTAAATCTATGTTGTTTTTAACATTAAAGTTAGAAAAACGCTTCTATCGACTCGTTTTTCATGACTGATATAATAATAGATATATGAAGAAATACTGGAGGCTCTTCATTATACTACAGTGATTTTAAACTTTCTATCTACCAAAGGAATCATGTCATGTAGAATTGGCAAAACTGATCAATTAGCAAGAACTTGGTTAAAATTAAGTCCTTTCTAAAATTTTCTCTTACAATTTTAAAGATAGATTTATTTATATTACTGCAAAAGTTAATAATTTTGTACCAAAGGAACCTTAGAAAACTTACCTAACCATATTATAACAAGCGCAATTTAATTTAGGGTAATCCTACTAAATATATTTTAAATAAGTTTACAGTAATTTAATAATAAACTACACGTGTATACACACTGAGAGGTATACACTGCACGGCGTGTGTATATTAAGGAATGAGAAACCATCGGTTTCTAAGTGTATATATAATGAGAGACATAAATTACTCGATGTATATACTCTGATAGACATAAATTACTCGGTGAATATACACTAAGAGACACACATCACTCGGTGTATATACAGTGAGAGACATAAATCACTCGGTGTATATACAGTGAGATAATTCACCGGGGTATATAAAGAGAGATAATTTACTGGTTTATATACACTAGGAGACATACATCACTCAAGAGACATAAATTACTCGGTGTATATACACTGAGAAATAATTCACTAGTGTATATATACAGAGAGATAACTTACCAGTCTATATAAACTGAGAGATATACATCCCTCGGTGTATATTCTGTACACGGTGACGGTCATATTTCATCCGGAGAGAACAACAGCTTTGTGTTAAGCACTGCCAACATTCAGTAAATATTAGCACTACTTTTTTGTGCATGTGTATGTTACATAGAAGGGTTCTTGGTCAAAGGAATTGGAGTTATTCGTCCATTCTTTCGATCAAAGATGACTACCTCGTAATCCCAGTACACTTAAGACCCAGTGCCTCCCTACAGTGGTACTGGTCAATCACTGAACACATTACAGTGATATTGGCCAATCACTGAAGACATTACATTGATACTGGCCAATCACTAAACACATTAGAGTGGTACTGGCCAATCACTGAACACATTAAAGTGATATTGGCCAATCACTAAACACATTACAGTGGTACTGGCCAATCACTGAACACATTAAAGTGATACTGGGCAATCACTAAACACATTACAGTGGTACTGGCCAATCAATGAACACATTAAAGTGATACTGGCCAATCACTAAACACATTACTGGCTGCCAGTTCAACCATCTCGTTACCAGACATCTTACAAATTTTTTTAGTTAATGCACTTGTAGTTAAACCTTCTCTGTTTTTGCTTTTATGAAATCTATAGAAGAAGAAAATTGAGTTTGAACGTCAAGAGGAAATTTTATGAAATTAACGACGGAGACATCGCAAGAAAATTTGCTTATTAAAATAAGTGCAAATTGGAAAATAATAAAGTATACGATCAATTCTCTCTTCTGTTCCTCTCCAGGACCAAGACAGTCCCACCTTCCCTGGACCATGACAGTCCCACCTTCCCTGGACCAAGACAGTCCCACCTTCCCTGGACCATGACAGTCCCACCTTCCCTGGGAAACCATGAGAGTTTTCCCTTCTTGCACCAAGAATTCCCACCTTCCTCGCCAAGCCCAGTCCCCCATTACCTGACATGCCACCTACTTTCCTGGTAATATAAGTAACTTCCCCTTACCAAGACATACTCCCCTTACCTAGGACGGTCCATCTCAAAACCATTTGGAAGCCCACTCCCTCCCATTAAAATTTTCCCCCCTCCCCTGGACTCATAAAAGGGTTTCCCCCCCTTGGCCAAAAGACATTTCCGCCTTCCCTGGAAACCGGGCAATCCCAATCCTTAAACCATGACAGCCCCCTCCATGACAATGGTAATCCCGCACTTCCGGCTTTTGAAGCCAACCCCCGGACCATGAACGGGGAATTCACCTACCATTAGACGGGACTGCGCCAATTCCTGCCATGGAAGGCCCAACTCCTTGACCATGACGCCCCACCTTCCTGGACATGAAGTCCCACCTTCCTGGACCAGGGACAGTCCACCTTCCTGGAAAACCATTGAGATCCCACCTTCCTGGACCATGACAGTCCCCAACCTCTCTGGACCAGACAGTCCCACCTTCCTGGACCATGTAGTCCACCTTCCTGGACCAAGGAAGTCCACTTCCTTGGCCAAAGACATTCCCACCTTCCTGGACAAGAAGTTCCACCTTCCGGACCATGACAGTCCCACTTCCTGACCCAATCCCGTCCCCTCCCTGGACCAGAAGTCCACCTTCCTACCTCCCCCCCCCCTTCCCTCCAACATCCCCTCCCCCCCCCCATCACCCCCCCCACCCCTCCCACTCCCCTGGACCAAAGCCCTCCCTTCCCTGGACCAGACAGTCCCACCTTTCCCCCTGGACCATGACAGCCCCACCCCCTGGCCCAGAAACCCCCTTTGACCAAACACCCACCTCCCCTGCCAGACAGCCCACTTCCACCAACAGCCCCCCTTTCCCCCCAAACCCCTCCCTGGACCATGACAGCCCCACCTTCCCTTGACACAAGACAGTCCCCCCCCTGGACAGACAGTCCCCCTTCCGGGCCATGACAGCCCACCTTCCCGGGACCATGACAGCCCACCTCCGGGGCCAGACAGCCCCCCTTTCCCCTGGACCAGACAGCCCACCTTCCATGGACCATGACAGCCCACCTTCCCTGGACCATGACAGCCCCCCCTTCCTGGACCATGACAGTCCCACCTTCCTGGACCATGACAGCCCCACCTTTCCCTGGCAACATGAACAGCCCCCCCTTCCTGGCCCAAATGACAGTCCCACCTTCCCTGGACCATGACAGCCCACTTCCCTGGACCATGACAGCCCCCTTCC